GGGGAATAGGAAGGGGTTCAGGTTGAGGGGGGATGGGAAGGGGTTCAGGTTAGGGGGGGAATGGGAAGGGGTTCAGGTTGGGGAATAGGAAGGGGGTTCAGGTTGGGGGAATGGGAAGGGGTTCAGGTTTGGGGTGTGGGAAGGGGTTCAGGTTGGGGGAATAGGAAGGGGTTCAGGTTGGGGGATGGGGAAGGGGTTCAGGTTGGGGGAATGGGAAGGGGTTCAGGTTGGGAAGGGGAATAGGAAGGGGCTCAGGTTGGGGAATAGGAAAGGGGTTCAGGTTGGGGAATAGGAAGGGGTTCAGGTTGGGGGAATGGGAAGGGGGTTCAGGTTGGGGAATGGGAAGGGGTTCAGGTTGGGGGATGGGAAGGGGTTCATGTTGTGGTTAATGGGAAGGGGCTCAGGTTGGGGGCGTGGGAAGGGGTTCAGGTTGGAGGGATGGGATAGGGTTGGGGGTGTATTTGTGAGATGAGCCATGCAGCGAGGGACCGGTTGTTAACAACATAACACAAGTGATATGAATGTACTTGTAAGACTAAACTGAGACAAGTCACTGTAAGTGTTGTGCTTATTTTTAGAAGAGTGTGGGAAAACATCCTTTTAACTGAAATAGCCTGGGTGTTGCTGGTGTTTTGCTGTCAGGTGCAACAGCACTATGTGTATGTCAGGCTGCCATCACCTAGCCCAGGAAAACTTCAGTAGGTGGATCGAAGTTTACAATCTCTCTGCATGTGCCATTGCTTGCTGACAGAGTTACTTGACAGGGTATCAGGTGGTCAAAATGGCGGGGTAGCCAGTGTAATTGTGCCCTGCATTTGGTTAGAGTGAAAGGAAAGCTTATTGTGTTTTCAAAATCTCTTTCGATGAGCAGTGACTCAAGTAACCTTGCTCCAAGGCTGCACTGATTGCTAAGCACATGGATGTATAGTAATTCTATCCTTTCAAGAGTGGCCAACTTTTTGTTCATATACAGTACTTCCCTCTAGGTAACAATGTATTGAGAAAGAGCTTGACCTAAAACAGTGGCCTAGTTTTGGGTCATATAGAGAAACATCCCTCCAGGTACCCATATATGGAGAGCTTGGCCATAAACAGTGGCCTACTTTTGGGTCATATAGAGAACATCCCACCGGGTACCCATATGTATGGAGAGCTTGTCCTTCAACAGTGGCCCAGTTTGTGATATGCACAATACACAAAATACTGCTTGGTACCCAGGCTACAACTGAGACAGATCTGTATGGTCTATGCACGAGAGCAATAGCAAGATATAATTCCCTCATTCTCACCTTGTGTCCTTATCTCAGAAGACTATCAGGGGCAACATGATAGACAGGAGAATGTGATATTTGTTCTAAAAACATCCCCGGAAGATGTCTTTGTTTGTGTACTTCAGATAACGAATGACTGTTAAGATACTCATAGTTCGCCAAAATACTGGCGCAGAAATACATCCAGACTAAACCCAGTCTCTGAATATGTATAATTTGGATAGAATCAAATATTTCCTTTTAAATTGAAAAGGAGTGAGTGAGTTTAGTTTTACGCCGCTTTTAGCAATATTCCAGCAATATCACAGCGGGGGACACCAGAAATGGACTTAACACATTGTGCCCATGTGGGGAATCAAACCGGGTTTTCGGCGTGACGAGCGAACGCCTTAACCACTAGGCTACCCCACCGTCCCAAATTGAAAAGGAGACCAGTGAGATGGGAGATTCAGAACCTGAGGAAATGTAGACTTGCTTCATGTAGGTTTTTGGTCGGTTTATCGTTTAACGCCGCACTCAGCAATATTCCAGCTATATGGCGGCGGTCTGTAAATAATTGAGTCTGGGCCAGACAATCCAGTGATCAACAGCATGAGCATCGATCTGCACAATTGGGAACCGATAACATGTGTCAACCAAGTCAGAGAGCCTAACCACCCAATCCTGTGAGTCGCCTCTTACGACAAGCATGGGTTGCTGAGGACCAACTCACTGATCTTCACTGCTTGCTTCATTTAGGGCTTTAGCATTGCAGAAAGGGTTTTGGAATGGAAAATTATGCGGTTCAGGCACTCTGTGACAGTCTGAAATACAACTACACCCAGCAACAAAAGAAGAAAAATCTGACCAGTTCCACCAGCGGTCAAATGATGCAGGTTTAAGATGCTTGTTCGGAATCGGGCAACTGCCGAAAGACGAGCAGGGCTTGGTTCACAGCGTTCAGCAAGGGAAATAACGTGGTTTAGGGACTCTGTGACAGTCTAAAATACATACTCGCCAAGAAAAGAAGAAGAATCTGACCAATTCCGTCAGTGGCCAAGTGATGCATGTTAGGTTAAAGAATCTTGTTCGGAAGACCAGCAGGGTATAGTTCACAGGGTTCGAGGCTAATTTCAGCCTGACGCACTGACTGATAGCAGCATCTGCACCCTGTCAGTCTGCCAACGCTGCTATTGCTTCTGTTTTCCCATGGCTTATTGCTTGACATTTTAAGTGGGAAGTGGCTGAGAAATGCTCCTGTCAATTTTCATGTCTTTCCCTGCAGTGGGAACATTTGGCCCACAATGGCAAGTAACTGTGAGTGACACCCCGGTTGTAAGGATCGCTACTCCTGACATCAGCACATCAATAACTCTCACAGCTTTTTTGATGGACTGTGTTGGCAAGTTTTGTTCTTATCAGGATTTTGACTGAGTTCTAAGTTACGCAGACAGGTGTGAATGTGTTTTAAAGATTTTACCTTCAAGATGGCTTTGTCATTTTGACCTTTTACACAACACGATATTTAAAAAAAGGCTGTAAAACATTGAGGCCAGGTCGACATTTATTTAGTTTCAAAAGTTTAAGAATTTGACTATTTTCCTCCAAAGATCCTTGGTAGAATAGGTCTTCAGCAATCCATCCTTGCCACAAAAGGTGACTATACTTGTCGTAAGAGGCGACTAAACGGGATCGGGTGGTCAGGCTCGCTGACTTGGTTGACACATGTCATCGGTTCCCAATTGTGCAGATCGATGCTCATGCTGTTGATCACTGGATTGTCTGGTCCAGACTCAATTATTTACAGACCGCCGCCATATAGCTGGAATATTGCTGAGTGCGGCGTAAAATTAAACTCACTCACTCACTCACTCCTCCGAAAATATAATTGTCAGAAATGAGTCCAGTTAGTTCATGTGTAAATATCGCATTTTTTATGGTGTCTTTTAGATGGTTTAGCATTTTCTAAATGGGATTATGCTCCAGTCAGTGAGCTTTTATATATCATTCTTTTTCTTACAAGCAGTTAAAAGACTTTTAGTCTTAATATATTTTGTTTAAGTTCATTATTTTTTACAAGATATGTTTTCTTAAAGATGGAATATGTATCAGTTTAAATAATTATAATTTGTGCCACCTGTAACTATGGTAACATGTTGCAAAATGAAAGGTTTGGCACTATTAGTTTAGAGAGAATGATGTGGTCAATTTCAATATAACACGCAAATTTGCCTCCATTTTATGAAAGCATTAACAAGTCGTCTGTAATATTGTGTTATTAACAGAGAAATAATGTTTTCCTAAAATGTTGCTTGATGCATTTGATCAAAATACAGCATTTAACTTAACATCGCAGTACTTTCATAACTGTTGCAAAATGAATCCGGCTTTGATGCATGACAACACATGTCATTGAAATCAGTTGTTAATGTCGACATTTCTTCCCTTTCAAGTATGTAATCTGACAAACAGGTCCTGAACCCTTCTTGGAGATTTACATGTATTTATAGAGATAAACATCGTATCATTCATTTATTCCGCTTGATGCGCAATATTTTGAAGTCAGTAATACCACTGTGCCAAGCACTTTGAAGTAGCCCAATAACAAAAAGCTAATTGAACGAAAACCATTTCTAAATGTCAAGCAGTTTAAATTTGAATCCTCCCAGTGTTTATTTGTCATTTTGCTCCATCAACGCTGTCATTACGCATACAACAACATTTCAAATATCAGCCCTCTCTGCTGAGTGCCTTTTTAACAGGCGACCTTGAAATCTGAAACCTGTTAACGAAACCACGTATCAGTCCTGGGCCTGGGGTGTATACATTCGCCTCCACTGAAGTGTAGAATTAGGTCAGGCAAAACTACTTATTGCATTTACATTGATTTTTTATGGTTCATACATTATTCTTAAGCACTTGGGAATCAAGATTCAAGGTTTGGGTTGAAAATGTGCCTCTTTGGTATGAATTTCATTCACCTAACCACCTTACCCAGTCAGTGAGTGTGTGAGTTTAGTTTTATGAAACTTTCAGCAATATTCCAGCAATATGACAACAAGGGACACCAGAAATGGGCTTCACACATTGTACCCATGTGAGTTAACAGTCAGATTCACATTTCACAACAAAGTCATAAGGTGGCACCACAAACTTCACCGAACATCATACAACACATTATGTGAGTTTTGAGAAGGAAAATGATTTTTAAAATGTACAATTTTATTGCATTTAAAAAAGGAATTTGTTATGACGTTAACAATAGACTTTTCCCACAACAAAGAAGTATTTGTGTCTCGCCTCAAAGTGAAATACACCCTCAAGCATGACTGCTAACACTCCAGACTCCATGCAAAACCACGTTCCTTGTGTGTGGAGCTTTGTAGCAAGAGCATGGCCTACAATCAAGACATGGCTTCAAGAGCCTGTGCAGAGACCTTGCCAGGGACGACCTGTTGTTTACTAAGTTATGCACCCAAGTGTGAACAGCATGCTGGGAAGAATACTTAGAATTTCATCCCTAAACTCTGGATGTCTGTGCCGTCATTTAAGTGTCAAGGAAATATGTTCGGAGATAGGGTATTGAAGGAGAGTTCTCGAAATGATTGACGGTCAAAGTAGCTTCTTGTTCTGCTAGGTGGCATTTCAGCAAAATAGTTTTGAATGAGGTGGCAGAACATGGTATTTGATGGATATGGTCATTGGGCAAGTGTGTAGTGTTTGTTTATATATTATAATGGATGTCTGTACTGATTGGAATCTGGAGGAAGGGTGGAGATTGGGGAGGGTGTTGGAGGATTGGGAGGGTGGTTGAGATTGGGGAGGGTGGTGGAGATTGGGGAGGCTGGTGGAGATTGTGGGAGGCTGGTGGAGATTGGGGAGGGGGTGGTGGAGATTGGGGAGGGAGGAGGTGGAGGTGGGAGGGTGGTGGAGATTGGGGAGGGTGGTGGTGGTGGAGATTGGGGAGGCTGGTGGGAGGTGGGGAGGTGGTGGGTGGTGGAGGTGGGGAGGTGGTGGAGATTGGGAGGGAGGGTGGTGGAGATTGGGGGAGGCTGGTGGAGGTGGGGGGAGGTTGAGAGGTGGGAGGTGGGGGAGGGTGGTGGAGGTGGAGATTGGGGAGGGGGAGGTGGAGGTGGGGAGGGTGGTGGTGGGTGGGGGAGGTGGTGGAGATTGGGAGGTAGTGTGGTGGAGATTGTGGTGTGGTGGGAGGTGGGGATTGGGGTGGTGGAGATCAGGGGAGGGAGGATGGAGGTGGGAGGGTGGTGGGAGATTGGGGAGGATGGTGCAGATTGGGAGGGTGGTGGAGGTGGGAGGGTGGTGGAGGGTGGGGGAGGGTGGTGGAGATTGAGGAGGGTGGTGGAGATTGGGGAGGGGAGGATGGAGGTGGGGAGGAGGTGGTGGAGGTGGGGAGGGTGGTGGATTGTGAGGGTGGTGGAGATTGGGGAGGAGGATGGGAGGTGGGAGGTGGGTGCAGATTGGGGGAGGATTGGGAGAGTGGTGCAGATTTAGGAGGAGGAGTGGTGGAGATTGGGAGGGTGGTGGGATTTGGGAGGGTGGTGGGAATGGTGGAGATTGAGGAGGAGGATGAGAGATTGGGAGGAAATTGGTGCAGTTTGGGGTGGTGGTGGAGATTGTTGTGTGTGGTGGAGATTGTGATTGTGGTGGAGATTGGGGAGGAGGATGGAGAGGTGGGAGAATTGGTGCAGTTTGGGAGGAGTGGTGGAGATTGAGGAGAATGGGTAGAGATGGTGGAAATTGGGAGGGAGGAAATTGGGGAGGGGTAGGGATTGGGAGGGTGGTGGAGATTAGGAGGCTGGTGGAGATTGGGAGGAGGCTGGTGGAGATTGGGGAGGTGGTGGAGAGTTGAGGAGGGTGGTGGAAATTTGAGAGAGGCTGGTGGGAGGTGGTGGAGGTAGGGAGGGGTGAGGTGGTGGAGTGAGAGAGGGAGGTGGTGAGAGATTGAGGAAGTTGAGGTGGGAATTAGAGGAGAAAGGTGAAATTAGGGAGATCGGGAGGAGGATGAAATATCGGGAGGGTGGTGGAGATTGGGGAGGATGGTGCAAATTAGAGGAGTGGTGGAGGTGGGAGAATTGGTGGGAATTTAGGAGAAGTGGTGGGAAGATAGGTGGGGTAGGGAGGGAGAGATGGAAATTAGGGAGGAGTGGTGATTACAGTTTAGGAGAATTTGGTGGAAGGTATTGTGTGAGTGGGAATTGCTTAATTGAGGTGGGGAATTAGGAGAGGATAGAATTAGGAAAGAGTACAGTTTGGGGAGAGTGAGGAGAATTAGGAGGAGTAAGTGGAGAATTGAGAGAGATAGAATTGGGAGGAATTGAGTACAGTTTGGGAGAAGGTAGTGGGATTAGGGGAGGTAAAGTGGGAATGAAAAATGGGAAATTGGGAGGCTGGTGGAAATTAGAGAGCTGGTGGGAATTAGGAGAATTGAGTGGCAGATTAGGGAGGATTGGGAGGTGTGCTAGTACAGAATTAGGGAGGGTGGTGGAGATTTGGGAGGATGGTGGAGATTGTGGGAGATGGTGGGGGGTGGGGATTGGGGAGGAGGATGGAGGTGGGAGGTGCAGTTTGGGGAGGGTGGTGGGAGATTGTGTGGTGGAGATTGTGGATTGTGGTGGAGGTGGGGGAGGAGGATGGGGAGGGAGGGTGGTGCAGTTTGGGGAGGGTGGTGGAGATTGAGGAGGGTGGTGGGGAGGAGGATGGAGATTGGGAGGGTGGTGCAGTTTGGGGAGGGTGGTGGAGATTGAGGGAGGGTGGTGGAGATTGGGAGGCTGGTGGAGGGTGGGAGGGTGGTGCAGACTGTGGAGGATTGGGAGGGTGGTGCAGATTAGGGGAGGGTGGTGGAGATTGGGGGAGGGTGGTGGAGGATTGAGGGAGAGGGCTGAGTGGAGGTGGTTGAGATGGAGAGGGTGGTTGGAGATTGTGGATTGTAGGTGGAGATTGGGGAGGAGGATGGGTGGGAGGGTGGTGCAGTTTGGGGGAGGGTGGTGGAGGTGAGGGAGGGTGGTGGAGATGGTGGAGGTGGGAGGGAGGCTGGTGGAGAAGTTGGGGGAGGGTGGTGGGGGTGGGAGGCTGGTGGAGGTGGGGAGTGGTGGAGATGGGGAGGGGTGGTGGGGAGATTGAGGGAGGGTGGTGGGAGGTGGTGGAGAGGATTAGGGAGGGTGGTGAGTGTGTGGGGTGGAGGAAGTGGAGGGTGGGGAGGAGACTAAGAGAGGGGGTGGGGAGGAGGATGGAGATTGAGAGGGTGGTGGGGGTGGGAGGGTGGTGGAGATTGTGATTGTGGTGGAGATTGGGGAGGGAGGATGGATGGGTGGGAGGGTGGTGGAGATTGAGGAGGGTGGTGGGAGGTGGGAGGGTGGTGGAGATGGTGGAGGTGGGGAGGAGGATGGAGGGTGGGAGATTGGGGCAGTTTGGGGGAGTGGTGGAGATTGTTGTGTGGTGGGAAGGTGATTGTGAGGTGGAGGTGGGGAGGGAGGGATGGAGGTGGGAGGGTGGTGCAGTTTTGGGGAGGGTGGTGGAGGTATTGGGGAGAAATTGGTGGAGATTGGGGAGGAGGATGGAGATTGGGAGGGTGGTGCTGTTTGGGGAGGGTGGTGGGAGATTGAGGAGGGTGGTGAGATGGTGGAGGCTGGTGGAGAGTGGGGGGAGGCTGGTGGGAGATTGGGAGGGTGGTGCAGATTGGGAGGGAGGAGTGGTGCAGATTGGGGAGGGTGGTGGGGAATTTGGGAGGATGGTGGAGATTGAGGAGATGGTGGGATTGGGGGGAGGAGGATGGAGATTGGGAGGGTGGTGCAGTTTGGGGGAGAATTGGTGGGAGAATTGTTGTGTGAGTGGGGAGATTGTGATTGTGGTGGAGATTGGGGAGGAGGATGACCTGGGTGGAGAGGTTGGTGCAGTTTAGGGGGAATTGTGGTGCAGGAGATTGAGGAGGGTGGTGGAGATTGGGGAGGAGGGATAGAGATTGGGAGGGTGAAAGATGCAGTTTGGGGAGGGTGGTGGGAGATTGAGGGAGAGATTGGGTGAGATTGGGGAGGCTGGTGGAGGAGGGAGGGTGGGTGGGGAGATTGTGGAGGATTGGGAGGGTGGTGGAGATTGGGGAGGGTGGTGGAGATTGGGAGGGTGGTGGATTGGGGAGGAGGATAGAGATTGGGAGGGTGGTGCAGTTTGGGGAGGGTGGTGGAGATTGAGGGAGGGTGGTGGAGATTGGGGAGGCTGGTGGAGGTGTGGAGGGTGGTGGAGATTGTGGAGGATTGGGAGGGTGGAGATTGGGAGGGTGGTGGGAGATTAGGGAGGGTGGAGGTGGAGATTGGGAGGAGGAGATGGAGATTGGGAGGTGGTTGAGATTGAGGTGCAGGTGGGGGAATGGTGGAGATTGGGAGGTGGTGAGATTAGGAAGATTGGTGGAGATTGAGGAGGGAGGGTGGAGATTGGGGAGGATGGTGGAGGAGGATGGTGGAGAGTGGGGGAGGATGGTGGAGATTGGGGAGGATGGTGGGAGATTGAGGAGGGTATTGAGGAGGAGGGTGCTGGAGATTGAGGAGGGTGGTGGAGATTGGGGATATGGTGGAGATTGGGGAGGGTGGTGGGGATAAGGGGTGTGTAATGTTCTGGACAGATGAAAAGGAGGAACTATGGACTGGGTGCAGAGATAGGGGTGTGGAGAGATGGGAGAGGCAAAGGGATGGTTTGGAGGGATTGGAGAATTGAAAGAAAGGGAAAGAACTATTTTCAGATTGGACGAGATCTTATCAAACTGCCCAAAGAGGTAAACACTGTAAATATGTATATCTGTATACTGCAAACTAAATACTGCAGCATCTTCAACAAGCACAAACCTTCAATGTGTTATAAGACATTATTACTCATTAACTCAAATCCTTCTGTCATTGGTTAACTCTTTCAAGACAAAATCCTGATTATTGTCTACTAAAGTGTTACCAACTAACAATCTATGTTCAGTTATCCAGCCTTGACACTGATTAGTGTTGTATAGCTCCCTGATGTAGATCAGATGTAGATCTGTGTCAGTAGGAGAGTTGTGATGGGTGTGCCCACCTTGCCCCGCAGATAGTCCATATGATCTCTGTCCCCTGGGATACAGTACCTGGCATAAGGCCTTGCATGCCAACCTTCACCTCACTTATGGCTGTTGTACAGCAGGACCTTGATCATATATCTCTGTTGTACACCAGGGCCTTGATCATATATCTCTGTTGTACACCAGGGCCACTATGATGTATCTCTGTTGTACAGCCCGGCCTTGATCATCTATCTCTGTTGTACACCAGGACCTTGATCATATATCTCTGTTGTACACCAGGACCTTGATCATATATCTCTGTTGTACACCAGGACCTCTATGATGTATCTCTGTTGTACACCAGGGCCTTGATTATATATCTCTGTTGTACACCAGGGCCTTGATTATATATCTCTGTTGTATACCAGGGCCTTGATTATATATCTCTGTTGTACACCAGGGCCTTGATTATATATCACTGTTGTACACCGGGGGCTTGATTATATATCTCTGTTGTACACCAGGACCTTGATTATATATCTCTGTTGTACACCAGGGCCTTGATTATATATCTCTCTTGTACACCAGGACTTTGATTATATATCTCTGTTGTACACCAGGGCCTTGATTATATATCTCTGTTGTATACATCAGGGCCTTGATTATATATCTCTGTTGTACACCAGGGCCTTGATTATATATCTCTGTTGTACACCAGGGCCTTGATTATATATCACTGTTGTACACCAGGGCCTCATTATATATTTCTGTTGTACACCAGGACCTTGATCATATATTTCTGTTGTACATCAGGGCCTTGATTATGTATCTCTTACGCAGCGGGACATCCATTTTAATTTAAGTTCTGTCCTTTTGCATTACACAGAGCCCCCTCTGACTGGAGACACACAGTAAAAAGAAAACACTGATTAATCGATGGCTGTTCTAATTATCTTTGGTAGATGGGGGGTGGGTGGGGTGTTTTGGGAACGAGATGTGCAATATATATCAACTGTCATTTTTTAAATCCCAATTGTCCAATTGGTCTGCTATTTATGTCAGTTAGTATTTTTTAACATGAAACTCCTTTAAATGTCAACCAGTAACTGGTAGCAACCGGCTTCACAGTTACTACTGTCTCTGCTGTCATGTCTCCATGTCATGTCTCCCTGTCATGTCTCCATGTCATGTCTCCATGTCATGTCGCAGTCGCGACGAACTTCGAAGGTCACTTCAAGGAGAAGTTTTCATTATATTTAGTACAGAATACTGGTTACACAGTGTGTATGCTACAGTAACACCAAAGGACAAAACTATATGATGATGATAGAACTAATAATAATAGTAATGCAACATGATGGTATGACTCATTTCTTTCATTGCCATATTTGTGGATGTGACCTCGTCTTTTTCGTAATACTAATGAAATTATTTATATCATTGAATTTTCTTTCCCTTTTGACACTAATTTGATTGACAAGATTCAGGAAAAACATGACAAATATGTGGACCGTGCTTAAGAAATGTCAAGCTTACATTCCTGGTACCAAATTGTCCGACTCTCCATTGTATTTGGTGCCTCAGGTAAGATAGCCGCCAATCTCTTGACTGACATTGGAAGAGTACCTGTGCTTGCTGGTTACTTTGGGTAATGCAGAAGGCTGTAGTGTTAGGGAGTCTACACATTCTCAGAAAAGTTCTTGGTGAGTTCAACTTAGTCTGTCTCACAGTCCCTCAACTGCATTATTTTCCAGGCCCTCCCTGCAATCCAAAACCCTTAAATGAGGCAAGTCTAGATCTTCCTCAAGTTCCTCTAATCTCACTGGGCCTCCTTTTCAATTTAAATGGGATTATTTGTTACTATTGAAATTATATATATTCAGAGACTAAACTTAGTCTAGGTTCAACTAGCCAGCACTTCTTGGTAGAAGTACCTTTCTCTGTCTGGGCAACGTGTGGAGGAGCCAAGGGCCCTGGGCTGATGAGATGAACCAGTCTGACTGTGCCAGGATCACCTGAACCCTCTTTGTTGAATTCATTAATTTCAATCTTCTACAGCCTGGGGAAATTTATGCCAACAAACCTTTTTGATAAAGCCAATGAAATTATGTATGTTATTGAGTTTTCTGTCCCTTTTGACAGCAATATGATTGACAAGATTTAGGGCAAGTCAGGCTTGCCATTGTACTTGCTGCCCTTGGTTTGGTACCTCCTGATCTCTTTCCGAAGATAAGGAGTGTGCCCGGGTTCTCCACCAGGAGCAAAGCTCTTCTGACACTCTGGGTAAAACCAAAGGCTGCAGTGTTGGGGAGTCTCCATATTCTCCAGAAAGTTCTTGCAGGGTTCACCTTAGACTTACACCAGTCTCTGAGGTAATAATAAATAGTCTAAATGATAATTTCTAAAACAATATAAACAACAGACTGGGGTCCTTAGATATCTATCGTTAAAGGATAGAACTAATACACATCCATTGACTTAGCTTTCAGTACAGCCTTGGAGCAAGGCTAGGTTCACCTGGGCAGCGATTCTTGGGGGAAGTCCCATACACTATCTGGGCTGTATATAGAGGGTGTCCTGATCTGACCTGATGATGAGCCTGACCAGACTACTGTGCCAGCACCAACCTGCCTCGCTCTGCTGAATTGTATTTTAGCTTTGATAATAATATATGCATGGGATACAGGCTGGGAAGCTGGTGTGATATTCATCATAACAAATGCTTGGAAAGTTGACAAATGTGTGTGAGTGCTTCATGTTTAACCACATTCAATGAGCGACATGTTTTGTCAGAATCGGCAGATACCATATAATAGATATATGGTCTCTGATATTGGAGTGAACTAGAACACACTTAGTTCAATATTAGTTACTAGACACATATAAACATCTGCCGCACTTCATCATTGAGAGGGATTTAGAAGTGGGAGCTGTAAGGAGCTTGATAACAGAGTTAGAATCGCAAATGAAACATCTCTCTCACTGCAATAGTTGTTCACTTGAGAATAAAAAAACTCGTTGATGAATCGATGTTCCCTATTATGTTTCCCTCAGTATATTCTAGGTATATTGTATAAACTATATGGATGATAGATGAGGGGAAAGTTAAAATGCATTTAAAGAAATTGATGTTTGGATTATTTCTTTGAATTACAAGAAAAAGAGGTGCTTCCCATGACATTAAGTTTCTTTGCAGTTTTTTTACCATTTGTAATAACAAAGAAGTCATGTATCAGAATGTTAACAACATTTTCTTCAGTTGTTGACTTCAGAAAAGTAGTAAAAGAAACTTTTGAGATAGTCCCTGATACAGGGAAAATAGTTTTCCAGGTTTTCACACAGTTTCTGTCATCAAGCGGAAGAGATGCTGATGATGTACTATAATGGCCATCCCCGTGTTCAAGTCATAAAAAGAACGGGACCAAAACAATTTCCTTGCATGCCTCCTCACTCCACTTTCACATCATTCCAAGTGATGAAAGGTAGCCATTGTAACGATATTACAGGTTGCAAGAAAAGTGCTTAGTTTCAATCTAAAAACTGAAAATTACATCTAGGTAAATTATCAATGCTGCCATTGCAGTGTTTCCTTTTGACAGAGCAATTTTTAGCCAATTATTACATGAATTTTTAAGCATTGACAATTATCTTTAGAAATGTATCCTACAATTTGCATGAATGGTCAGCAAGTTTATGCATTTTGCTTTTGTTCCCTGGGCTCTTTGAATCCATTTGTTCAGTAAAATATTGATTTCTGGAGAAACATGACATTTTGGAATAAACAAGTAAACTAGATTTCCAACTGTTATGACTCATTTGTCATCTTTATCAAACTGTGCAGAAGTAATCCTATCTAACTTACAATCGACTGCAGCTGCGATGGGTGGGATTATGCACAGAGCAGACAGGTTCCTGGTTCAGACAAAACAATAAGACAACCATGTTTTGAATGTTTGTTGGAGTTTTGGAAGATAAAGTCAAGGCTCCAAGTGTTCCTGATGCGTTTTGGTGATTAGGGGCCCCAGCATATCAAGGTGGAATGAAGGTTTAATGTCGTAACAGCATTATTTCAGCCCTATGGCCTTATCTAAGGTGTGGCAGAAATCTGTCGTCCCGGGTTTGAATCTCGGTCCACCCTGGTCATGTTTCTCGGTTTGTCAGCACCATACCTGTGACTGAGTTTCCTCAAAGTGAAAGAGGGGCAGTGGGGTAGCCTAGTGGCTACAGCGTTCGCTCGTCACGCCGAAGATGCGGGTTCGATTCCCCACATGGGTACAATGTGTGAAGCCCATTTCTGGTGTCCCCCGCCGTGATATTGCTGGAATATTGCTAAAAGTGGCTTAAAACCAAACTCACTCACTCACTCACTCACTCACTCACTCACTCACTCACTCACTCACTCACTCACTCACTCACTCACTCACTCACTATGTCTGACGCACTCACTCACTCATGTCTCACTCTGTACTCACTCACTTCACTCACAGTGGAATATGTCTGAGGCCTGCATCACATGTGCTTGCTTCCACATGAAGCTGTGATGTCACAGGGACGCTGTTCACACCAACACACTCACTTATTTCATGG